CTCACGATTGAGTTATGGTACTGTATTTCTCACCGTTGTCATGTTCGGCTTTATCTGTCATCAAAAGGGCGCCGATGGCTCCAAGAGAAGCTACGAAGAACGAAATGAAGAGGGATTTTCTGCGGCCAAACCTGTTGAAATAAAAATAAATAACACATACTTCAGGTTGGTCCACTGGTACCGAGAATACATTTTTTTCTCGTCCATTTCATTGGCTCATTTTATTTAGCAAATCAAGTTGGCCCACAAAAGATAACAAACAAAAAGCAAAAACAAAAAAATTTCAAATATACCAGCAAAGCAAACAAAACTTGTAAACAAATAAGGCCCTTACACGGCCGACTTAATCGTTCAACAAACTTGGTTAAGCAGGATTTGCGATTTTCCCCAAGGATTTGTACAAAGAATCTTGAAGACGATACCCAATCTAAGACAAAGAAGGAAATGCACCGTCTCTTGGCAAATTTACTTACCACACAGTCAAAACAGCACAGATAAGATAGGAAGGGAGAGAGGCAGCTGCACTTATCGCCACGTTGGAGTAAACACTACCGCCCACAAAGGGAGTACTAAAGCTAATCCCCCAAGATATGAAAGACACTGCAAACCTGTTGATATTAAGAGTAAGAGAACCTAGTTGTTGAATCATTGTTTAAGTTTGATTCACTTGCTGGCGCGCTCGTTCAAGATGTCCGACATTTTTGAGGGAATACTTTTTTTAAAAATATCCTCATAGTTCAATCCCATTTTCTAATATCGAAAATGAATTTATTTTAGCGGCTTTGAGGGCTTATGGCAAGCTTCCATTAGGGATACTGGATATATATAAGGGCACAGCGCATTTAAAATGGTATTGCCGAACTTAACACTTACCACATGAACCAGCAACCAAGTGTTTTGTGAGCCATTTTGAGAGAGGAAAACAAATCTCGAATGTCACCAAGACGTTCCTCCTTCGGTAAATAAATTGGTTCGTCTGGCATCTCTGTACCATTCGATGAAGCGACTTTAGACAAAGTTTCCTTTGCCTCAGTGTATCTTCCCTTCTTCAGAAGCCAGCGGACCGACTCAGGAATGAAACTGTTCGTAGATATAACAACAACACAAATAGTTATGCTGTGGAAGCTCTTTTAAGGGACCAACTCTCAACGGAAAATTCAATCTTCATTTATTTTAGTCAGCTTTCACAAGTCCACGTTTCAACAGCGACACATCTCTGTTCTTACATACTCCTGTTAGTGAGAGGAGACATTTTTTAGTGGGTCACGATCTAGACTTTAACAATCACGATAATGATAACAATAAGGATGGATATCGATGATGATAACTATAATGATAACCTTTGCCCCCCTTCAAGCCTGAATCGATTTATTTTTTCAACCTTCCTTGCTCAGTTTTTTTTTCGGATGACCCGGCAAAGTAAAAGGTTCTATTTAATTAGAGATGAAAACATTTTTCTACAGCAAAAGGACCATACAGTTATCAAATCTTACAAATATCCAGCGGCAAAGATGATCCCAGGAACTCCAGTGACAATAACCAGCTGTCTCCAGTCTCTTATGCCATACGCAATTGCTGCTAAAAGCATGACGAACACTTCATAACCAATCCAAACAACCGAACCTGCAGTCCCTCGTCGACGAACCCCAGAGAACTCAGATGTCAAAACAAACAGTGGAATGCTGTAAGCACCTGCATTCAAAACAAACCGTCAACGTTAAAATAAAATTAATAATTGTGGTTCATTCTAAAAATTTTAAAGAAGGAAGACCTTGCATAAACCTTCTCATCCTCATCATTATCATCATATCGACATTCTATTCTCACCGTTTATTTTCACTCACATGACCTTATATTTTTCCTCTCTCCTTACATCTCTCTCTCTTTGTTTACCTAATCATCTGTATGCCCGTTCCAACCCGTGTCGAATTTTCTCTCTTGTCCTCCTCATCCTCTTCAATTACATCTTTCTACTCCTTACTTCAACTCCAGCTCTCTTCTCTTCCACTTCCTTGTTCTCCATCTTGCTTTTCACAATCTCCTCTCTCTGTTTTATACATTCTCTACTTTCTTATCTTTCTCTTCAATCCCATTCTCTCTCTCGTTCTATTTGTTCGTTTTCCCTTCTCTTCGTTCCTAGAACTTAACCCTTTTAGTCAGCTTAAGGGTCATTTATCATGCAACGTCTTCCTTCGCCTGCCAACGAATTTTAGTTCGAGGAGGGAAGGTTGGTTTTCGTATCGGTAAGTTACTTCAAGCGCTAAAAGTTACTAATGAGGGACTATTTTTCTTGCATAATACATGCATTAAAATGTCCATATCTTACCAATCATGAAACCGACGATTGCTCGAAAGAGAGCAAACACCCAGAAAGCAGGAGAAAAAGCTGAAACAAAGTTGAACACGGCGCAGAAAAAGCCACACACAAACAACGGGAGCTTCCGGCCAAACTTGTCCGAGATAGGGCTGACAGAAATACTACCAGCTATAAATCCAGCAAAGATCACAGAGGTTGATACAAATCCAAGTGCGCCTCTTTTGCAATAAAGATCAAACTGTCAAAGGAGAAAGTGATTGAAACAAACCAACAAACAAAATTGAAAAGATTCGAGCTTCATTCAAGTAGGGGAGGACTCTCTTACAAGCCGAAGGCTCGCTGTTGGAAAATGTCTACATGAAAAAACACGTAGTCCTTTGGGCGAGTCGATCCTAGCATTACCTTACCGATATTTCTGATAATCTGGCTGCCTGTATGCAATCGTGCATTTACCGTTGATTTTTCAATCGTAGTCTTCGTGGTTATTCTTCGAATTCGTTGTTTATTTTATTCGCATTTAACATTGCCATGCAGGTCCGAACTATATTTTCTCTACTCTGT